AACTCAACCTGCGGAGGTCTCCATTCGGTCGGGTCGGATTTGACCCGGACGAAGCTGGGATCTGTCTGGACAGAGCAGACAGTCACGAAGCCGAGGGAACATGGAAACACCCCAACTAGCAAGGCTGCTGAGGTAAAGAGTAAACACTGCATACTTCAAGGAAGTAACCTTTGTGCTGTGTTTTCATCGAATGGTTAGACTCTAATGAGATAGTTTAATTTCATTCACCTTTGCTGGATTTCTGCACAGCCGGTTGCTTCGAGGGAGAGCGGAAATGTGGAAGCCGTTCTCTGCAGCAGATCTTCTCAGGACAGGAAGGGCAGGAAATCCAGCACGGTACGTATATACATATCTCCCACAGCTTCCAGTTTGCCTTTACCAATACTTAACTGGAGCGTTGAATTTAAATCTTCTTCTTCTTACATCAGGTTAAGGATCCAATAATCCAGTACAAGCGTCTGAAATCCCAAGCCGCTCTCTAGAGTCCGAAATCAGCATATACTGGAAGTTTAGTTGACTGCTTGATCAGGTTATAGACTTATAGTAAGTCAGTTCCTGGCTGACAAAGGAATTCGAGGCTTCTAAAGTTCCACTTGTTTTGTAGAGTGGCTACTTTTACTGTTCAGTTGTCAGACAAATTTGTTTCTGTTTAGTGTTTACAAACTAGGCCCTTTGATTATCCGACCATAGTTTTATAGATAGATAAGTAGTCAAGACAAATGATGACGAGTCATTGGGCTATGATCACATCTCGTGTGTTGGCCTTTCCCCTTGGTGCATGAAATCGTCCATTTTCCTTCCAATAATATGAGTAGAGCAATAAATAATTACAACCCGCTTTCTACTGCTGCTGATCCTTAAAAACGACGTAGGTGAAACGTCCTTGTCCATAGTTTATTGGCTGCCTTTCACTGAACTGCTGCTAACCCAATTTTTCTTATCATGATTAATATTTTTAATTTTTGTTGCTCCTTTGATACTGTGTGACCTTGTTTGATAATGACTGTATGCTAATCTTCCTTTCTTTTCTCATTATGAAGTCTTTTCCTTCAAGAGTCTGGAACTTGAAAGTTTCTGTGGCAGTATTTGTACAGGGCTAAGAAATGATCCAAAGTTTTGTCGTTTGTGCCCATGTCTAAATCTGCTGTGCAAGAGCCCCTAGTATACCATACCATCTTTCTCCGACCAAAACATTGCTACTATGCTGTTGCGCTGCATAATTTCGTGATTTCAATTATTGAATTCGTACAACAATATATGTGCAAGTAATGTTCTTATTTGTATGTAGTGAATCAGATAACAACACCATATAATTTAATGATATATATCCCACTCTAATCAACTCTCCAGACAAATCAAATTAAAAGATGCTATCATTTTGAACATTCGAACTCGTCTCATTGAATCCGGGTGACGAAAATCTTAGCGATGCAGGAGATGATAATTTAATCCTATCGTCAGAATTTGACAAAGAAAGAGTCGGTATGCAGGAGGAAAAAGCAATCACAAACTCCATTCCCATACAATTGTGATGTCGGCACCTTTGGTGTGCACTTGGACTTGGGACTGCTAACCGCACATGAATGGACAAACCTTGGCTAAGGAAACGAGAGAGAGAACAATCGTTCGTCCCCACTCTCCCAGCCCCAGGCCACCACATCATTGTATCAATTCCCTCTCCTTAACAACGTCCACGTGTCCTTCATGAAACCTCTATTCTCACCTAGACCACTATCCCCCAATCTCAAACCGACCCCACAGAGGACGAATCTTCATTACTAAGCGTGACCCGGACCCCACTTCACCATCATTTTCAGCCCTCCGATCATTCCAACGGCCCCGATCGAAACCACCCCCAACGATAAACCACCCGCCCGCCCCGCTTTATAAAACCCGCGCCACTTCCAGATCTCTCTCTCTCTCAACTAGCAATACTCGATCACTGTTAAGGAAAGGAAAGGAAGTGAAAGAATTCACTCCCAAGGAAGGAGAAAGAAAGCTCCCTCGGTTCGGTTAGAGAGAGAAACGGAATCCGGAATCTCGTTCCCACGCAGTTTACGTTTTGCTTCCACCGTGGAAAAGGTACGTACAGAGAGAGAGAGAGCGCGCGCTTTTGATGCGATTCACTCGCTTCTCGTGTGATTGGAGTTTGTTTGGTTCTGTTTCTCTTCTGAAATTCTGTATCTGTTTTGTTGGTGGATTGTGTGCAGATGGAATCCGAGAAGAAGGCGAAGAGCGGTGGTGGTGGTCCGGAGCTGAAGCATTTGGGGATCGTGAGGTTGGCGGCGATCAAGGCGCTGGTTACCGTCTCGAGTCTGTACGGGTACGCGAAGCAGAACTCGGGCCCGCTGAGATCCGCCGTCGGCACCGTCGAGGGCGCCGTCTCCTCTGTCGTTTCTCCTGTCTACCAGAAGTTCAAAGGCGTTCCCGATGATCTCCTTGTCTTCTTCGACAGGAAGGTAAGCCGGACGGGACTACTCTCCTTTTTAGTTTTCCGCTACCTCTCGTTTTCTGTTCAGATCACACCGGCCTCCTCCTCCGTTTGGGGATTTCTATTTATGGAATTGTGAATCTGATCGGGAATATGTACTGTTATGGTTTCTTACTGAACTAGAGAGGTTTTAGTAGGATTTGGCGATGTTTGTTCTGTTCGTGCTAGGAGGATCAAGGATGGCTTTCTGTGCGTGTCTTCTGCTCTTAATTCTAATTGCTATTCGTTGTATCCTGAGCCTAGATTGCTACCTCATCAGGAATTTGTGCCATTTTCTCTGTTGTGTGTGGAATGTGGGGAGTGCTTGGAGAGCTTGAATTAGAGAGCTTTTACAAGGACTGTTACGGAATCCTGATTCGAGATTGACAATGATCTCAGAACAGCGCTCTTAAATGATAGAAACTTTCAGTCTCTTGATACTCTGATTTTCAATCTAGCTTGATTTTGGAATGTTCAATTGTTATCTTGAGGCATTCATCTTCATATTGGATGGAATTTTCAGTAGGTCATGGACTTCATTAGCAAATACCCTAGTAGAGAATGGAGGTTGATCGAATTCGTTTTGTTTGATTCAACAGGTAGACGAGGCTTCCGCCAAGTTTGACAAGCACGCACCACCAGTAGCAAAGAAGGTAGTTGGCCAAGCCCAGTCCCTGTTCCACTCTGCAGCCATGAAGGCTGAGAAACTTGTGAATGAGGCCCGAACTAAAGGCCCCAAAGCCGCCTTCTGTTACACAGTGACGGAGACCAAGCACGTTGTGGTGAGCAACTCTGTGAAGGTGTACTGCATACTCGACAGGTATCCATCTGTCCACTCGATTGCGGAGTCCACTCTGCCGACTGCAGCACAGTGGTCGGAGAAGTATAACGAGACTGTGAAGGGCTTGAACCAGAAGGGTTACCCGCTGGTTGGTTACTTCCCTTTGGTGCCGGTTGATGAGATCGAGAAGGAGTTTCAGCGGGAGAAGGGCGAGGTGAAGAAAGAGCATGCAAATGGAGGTACTAAGCATAAGAAGGAAGGAGATTCATCTTCTTCATCAGATTCGGATTAGGGTGTTTGGAAATGTTTGAAACGTGGTTGGCAATGATGGTGAAACAGAGGTTTAGTTCTCTGTGTGTGTAGAAAAAATCTGTAAGACCCTCTGAAATGCTTTCTCGGAAGACTGCTTTGGCATGAAATGATAATGCGAGAGAGATTTGTTTAGTGTAAGTACAGTTTGTTTCAGTTAGGTGGCTTTGAAAACAGTACTTTGGAGTTTGTAGGGTGAATCGTGATACTGTAAGGCGAAGTTCGTCATTGTAGTTTGGCTTGAGCTGCAGTTTGAAGCTTAATTCAGAGTGATCTGGAATCTTCCGCCTCAGTTGATTAAAAATCTTAGTTCTGCTGATTTGTTACAATCTTCTCACGTCGACAAAGTTCACAAGTTGAGCATCCTCTTACTATCAGCTATGGCTCTTGTTCATCGTCAGCTAACCATCATTTAGGGAAGCGAATTGATTGTAAATTTCCCGTGATCCTGTAATACAGTACTGGACACGGAATACCACTTCTGTACTCGACTTTATGAAATCAGAAACGCAACCTTACACAGGTCTGTGCAAGTCTACAGCCATCCAGGCATAACCAGTACAAGTAACATGAAGCAGAATAAGACATCAATAATTGTACTGTGGGCTACAGAGTGCAACAGTAGCCAGTGTACCACGTTGCTGGTTGAGGTCATTCCAAAACGACATGATTTATATTTCCATTGTTCAACTGGAGAAGAAAATTGCACAAAACAGAGTTACATAGACAATTATTTCAACCCGGGTATGTATTTCGGAACCAGGATACACACTGGGCAAGTAGTTCATGAGTTCTCGGACAATCACACAACCAGACGGTCTTCCTTCAAAGTGAAAAAAGCTCGTCCAAGCAACCAGTCACGCTCCTGCGCCAAACAACAGGAGAAGATATAATTCCTTGTGCAAATCCCACAAATGAATAAGATTTCATGGGGATCGTTCCACTCATACACAGCATAATGGACGAAAGCAGTTGACATGCAAGATCAGATGAATGAAATAGGCACAGCAATCAAGTGTAATATAAAGGAATCGCTTTCCAGGAAAGCTGCTTTAATCTCCATCTATAGCCCTATCAGCAAATTTAGCTACCATAATGCTAAACCATCAGCTACCAGATATCAGGATTACTCATATCAGCTGTTGAGTAAAAACAAATGAAACAGATCTTAATGCTTCACTTTGAACCACTCAGCCATCTATCCTACACAGTGCTAACATCACAGAAACTGGGTGACAATAGAGTAAATTCATAACAACTTGTTGTTGGCTGATTGAACAATCAACACAATTCCAACACATCCAATCATAATGAGAAAACATAATCATCGATATCCCTGAGTGATTCAGATAAAAACATGAGATGATTGCAGAATCAACAAAATCAGCATAAGCACCTCAATCAAAAAATGTGAACACCGAACCTGCGAGAATGAAAAGGTCACTTGGGAGGAGGATGACCGTTGAGTGTGCGAAGAACATCATCATAAGGGTCCCTCCGGCCTTGGACCTGGCTGATCTGAGGATCCCAAAATAGCTGCGCATTGTGGCGATCGAAAGTCCAGAACCCATAAGGGCGGAGAGGCAAGCTCCACATCTCCTTCGTCTTCTTGCACCGATCCTTCATCGAGTACACATGTTCCCTGAACCTCTTGTCCCTCTCTTGAGGATCCTCCATCAACCTCAGGATCAGATTCTCCGCAAACTCCTTCACGAACCCCATCTCAAAATGCAAACCCTAATTCGTCCAATCGAAGATCGGAATGGCACAAGAAATAGAAATTCACGCAGGGAATTGTGAGAAAACTGAAATCAGTCGAGTCGAATGAAAGCAAAATCAAATTAGGATTACGAGAGGAGGATTCTTACAAGCTGGTGTCTCTGATTGCGGTATCTAGCGGGAGAAAACTGTGTGGGGAGAGAGCAGAGAGCTCGACCGCCAAGGAAAAGAATAAAACGGCAAAAACCTGATCGCGCGAGGTAGCTGGCGACTGATGAGAAATGGACCAAAAGCCCAAAACTCATTTGAAGTTTTTCAGGCTTGTCGTTCACGGGCCTAATCGAATTCCAACAGTAGCCTAATGTAAAATGGGAAAAAGCCTAATAATGCAAATAAAGCCCAATGGGCTTCACCTATTTTCTTGGACCGGATAATTGATTTAAGGCCAATACTACGATGCCGCTGTTAAAAATGCGGCACTAATGCAGCCAATTCCTATCATTCCACGTGGTAATAGCAGAATTATGAACTAGCCCAAATTGAGCATACTCAAACTCGATTGAATCCTTTCACAACCGCTCAACTGACCAGAAATTCGTTTATCATTTTAGGTTTTTGGTAAAATGTTTATTCTATTTGTTATATAATTTTTTAAGGTGAGAGGTTGAAAAGAAATAAAGAGAATTGTTTCTTCTCTCAAAACCTCTCCCTTTATCAAGGTCAAACTAAGCACCAACAATTCCGGCGAACCTTTGAGCCGCCGATTCAATCTCCTATACCAACGTCTTCCTACTCCTAGAATTCTTCTGTAAAACAAAACAATTGCATAAACAAATTCCTTGTTTCGCATGTTCTCCTCTTTGTCGAATTGCTCCGCCGCCCAAGAGAAGGGGCGACCCGCTTCAACCAAGTCAAGCTCGGGTCCTGCGCCGCAGCGGCTTGATGAGATCTGAATCAGCATTTTGCTGATGTTGGATCTGATTAAACGCCTTAAAAGTAAGGATGAAGTGTTGAGGATATTAATTACTTAGTCAAAAAGTAATTAATTCCTTGTCCTACAAGTCCCTAGTTTTCCTTGTTCAAGTAAAAGAAGGAAACTTGATTGTCATTAGGGTTTTAACCCTAAGTCTATATCTATAAAAGCTTAGCTACGGTCATGTCGTAAGCAAGCCGTCACAATGTAATCCCTAAAAAAATATCAGTCGTGAGCTCATTCCGAGCTCACTGTGGATTAGTCTCGATTAATCAATCGATCGAGGATACCACGTAAAATTCGTTGTTCTGTGTTCTATTTCAATTCCGCACTATCAAATTCTACATGCCGCCGAGTCCGTCAAAATCCGGCAAAGATGGCGTCACCGTCAATTCTTCCGCAGTCATAGGCGAAGTCCAGCCCGCCGTCAGTCCATCCCCCGGAAAAATCTATGGTCTGGCGCTCTCTATAGCTACTTTTATAGTAGCCACCGTTCAGGAGATGCAGTCAACCATCTCCTCCATATCATACGGATAGACGTAGTCAATCGTCTCCGTTAAGTCATTCAAGAGACGCAGTCAACCGTCTCCGTCAGGTCGTTCAAGAGAGGCAGTCAACCGTCTCTCGTCTTTGCAATCGTTCAGCGGTAAGCAAGAACATAAGCGGCGAAGTTAGTTGTTTTCAGTCTCCGTCATGGCCCACAATCGAGGCTTATTTTCGAGCCTCACATCAGCGATGCTCGTGTCTCATATATGCCGCCGAGTCCGTCAAAATCCGGGAAAGATGGCGTCACCGTCAATTCTTCCGCAGTCATAGGCGAAGTCCAGCCCGCCGTTCGTCCATCCCCCGAAAAAATCTGTGGTCCGGCGCTCTCTATAGCTACTTTTATAGTAGCCACCGTTCAGGAGATGCAGTCAACCATCTCCACCATATCATACGGATAAACGTAGTCAATCGTCTCCGTTAAGTCATTCAAGAGACGCAGTCAACCGTCTCTGTCAGGTCGTTCAAGAGAGGTAGTCAACCGTCTCGTCACGACGTTCTAGAAGATGCAGTCAACCATCTTCATCAGGTTGTTCAAGGGAGAGAGTTAGTCGTCTCCAAATCAACCTCGTCCGAGATGTTATTCATCTCGAGTTATGTTGTTCAAGCTTATCATGCTTGTTCGTCACATTTCCTTTTTCAAGCTCAACATTCTTGTCATTCATGTCTTCGCTTGAGGGGGAGTGTTGAGGATATTAATTACTTAGTCAAAAAGTAATTAATTCCTTGTCCTACAAGTCCCTAGTTTTCCTTGTTCAAGTAAAAGAAGGAAACTTGGTTGTCATTAGGGTTTTAACCCTAAGTCTATATCTATAAAAGCTTAGCTACGGTCATGTCGTAAGCAAGCCGTCACAATGTAATCCCTAATAAAATATCAGTCTTGAGCTCATTCCGAGCTCACCGTGGATTAGTCTCGATCAATCAATCGATCGAGGATACCACGTAAAATTCGTTATTCTGTGTTCTATTTCAATTCCGCATCATCAAATTCTACATGCAGTTACTCACTAGCGCCGTCGTCGACCAATGCGGTTTCATGGTAGTGATCTTCATTCTTGCTACCTGATACAATTAGTCATTGACCCAACACCGGAAGAAGGAACACGCCCAAAAGATCAAGATCATCGCTTTAGATCATAGTTAGTAAATACTCCGTTTAATACACATATATGTACCCGTACGTATTTTATTTGTTTAAAACTTCCGTATACGTATTATTGTCAAGCCGTTTTATTCTTTTCCGTTCATTTGATGGCTCCCGTACTAAATACGTATAAAATCTGTATAATACATTTAATATCCGTATTTAATGAATTAAATTATGAACTTTACTATTATTTATTTTTATGTATTTATGACTATTAACGTACTATTAAACGTAACATTAGCTTACAGACAACGTAAAATACCCGTACGTATTTTTTACATAACTTTCCCGTACCGTATTTTACTAACTATGCTTTAGATAGAGAAGAGAGAAGGGATTTGTTCCTACAAAATCTCTTTTTTTTTACATAAGAAATCTGGGAGGAAGAAGACAGTGAGCTGAAATTTGGGATATTTTTCTTATTGACAAAAACAAAATAAGTTTAATTTTATTGTTATCATGAATAAAAAGTTAAAATAAAATGAAAAGAAATATTCTTGGTCAGCTTGGATGCACCCGACCGACATGGAGTAGGTTCATGGAAAATGGGTTTTGGGCCGGCTTTTCACAAATTCAACCATCGCCACATCAGTTTTCCACCGCCAACATGGACCAATAGGACTTGGTTGCACCGATGCCGCAGTTTTAATGGCGACACCATAGTCTTGGCCTTGATTTAATCCATTTCATGTAATTTTCTTTTAATTTCTTGATATGGCCGACTGAATAAAGTGTTTAACACTCATGAAGTGTATTTTGGTAACTGCTCCTCACAACAGTAGTTATGGTCTCGGTCAAAATACAAGTTCTCTCATTTTTCCTTTCAAATTAATTCCTCTTCTCCGTCGCGACTTGAAATTACTATGGGACTTGAAAATCTATGCGATAACTACAACGGTCAGCCTCATCCACTTCTGCGCCATCGACCATCGTTGAAATGTTCAATTCGATTGCATTTTCTTTCTTCTATCTCATTTCTCTAGTTCTAGTCGACAATCAAATCCTGACTCCGTCGGCGATGCTACTGCTCTACATGAGCGACATCATCCTCCGTTGGACTCCTAGTTCCGCTCGCCTATTGAAATCCGACACCAATCTCACCTCCGATTCAATAAAACAGCATTTTACAGTCGCACATCCTAAATTTTGTGGAACGGTAACCGTTTAAATTTCATATAATTTCTCATTAATGTTTCTTGAGTTTTCATGCTCGTATTTGTCTAGTTTGTGGTCCAAATTATGATGTTTTTTGGAGTGTTATTTTGAAATTCTAGTGTAGTTTCAGATATTTATGGTATGTTTCATTACGCTTATGATGCTACTTCTCGTCTTCCTGATTTTGACGATGTGACTATTTTGAATGCAGACTACCTCCAATTAGATAGAAAAACCGTACAAAGTTCAAAGTTGTTTCTTTGGGCTTCTTAGTAGAGTTCCTCTATCCATCTATCCATTTGCTTCTCTTATAATGGGTTGTCATCGAAGCCCCGACTTTTGGTCACTCAGTCTCTTTGTCTAGTGTTTGGTGTTTACCAACAACGTGACTATTACGAATTCGATCATACAAAAACATAGCACCAATAGAGTTTTATATGTTTGTGATTTTAGATCTATTGGGTTAAGATTAGTTTGTCTTCTCAAAGTAGATATTAGTTAAAACAATTATCAATGGCATATCTCAATTCTCACCCCTTCTAATTTCCAAAGACGTACTTGATTAATATTAGCTTATCTATAATTGATTAATTTTGGAAAGATGGTATACATTTTGAATTACTATCACTTTCGCACTCTAAGTCCTAACTTCGCAATTGGACTATTGCTACCGTATAGTAATCCTGTTATTTTCCTCTTAGGAATGTTAATGTTTGTCTAAGCTACATAACCACTACAAGTAAATGGCGAGGAGAATGGTTGAAGTAACTAGTTGTAGGAGCTCTTAGTAGATGGTGTATATATATTTTTTGGGTGAAAAGGTGCAAAGCACCGCAACTCAATTAAGTAATCGAATGAACGGTGAACCCTCTCACGGAGTCATACAACAACTAATGACCAATGTAAGGATCACGAGGATCTTTAAGATGAGTACTCGGACTAAGAGAGTTATTAGTAAATGATATATGCTTCATAATTGAATTTGTTCCAACATCTTTGAGTTTTTTTGGATCAATTAGTTCTTGATTGATATGGTATTTAGAGCCTTTATGAGTTGGCTTTCGTTTGAAATGATGTGTTAGTAAATGTTTAATAATCCATAATTGAACCTTTTTCCAACAACTCGAATTATTGGGACCGACTGATTCTTGACGGGAAGTTGAACCCAAAACCTAAAGGTTGCTT